CCGGGGGTCCAGGTCTACCCTTCAAAAGAAAAGAACAAAAGTCAGGACAGCTGGGTTTGTTTCCCTCCTTCCAGAAAGTAAGATTTGTCTCTGGGGTCCAGAGAGGAGTAGGGGGCCTCTAAGCGTGGCCCCAGGACCCTCATCCCCACCCTCCAAAGACTGATAGCCAAAAAGGTGGATCACTTAGGTATAAGGTAAAGCCCTTGGTGTCACATTGTGTCGACACACAAGATCTTATTCTACTGAAGAAATAAAGGTGGTGGAGAAGATATTCTAAACTTCTTGATTTCATCTTTTTTTTTTTAATTGGGGAATTGGGGAGGGGAACAGACAGGTTGCTGTCCTTTGGTTCTTCAGTCTAGTTGTGGAGGACATTGCTTCACTGGCCCATGTTGGTATTATCATTGCGCTCTTCCCAGGTGAGGCAGATGGGTCGCTGGCCATTGGACGGCTGCTCACAGCGGCTCATAAAAGCTCACGCCGCTGCTGGCAAGCCTCACTGCAGCCTACGCTGTTGCTGGCAACTCACAGCAGCCCAGCTCCAGGTCGAGCTGTTGTTCACCATCTTAGCTGCAGAGCGCACAGCATCACTGGCCCGCATGTGGGACCCGAACCGGGGCCCTGCTGCTCAGAGCTGGTGTCCCAAGCCAACTCCTAACCAATGTGCCGATTGCTCCATCTTTATCTCCTCCACCCACCCATTCAAATGTCCCCTGCATTCTCCGTGAGGATGCAGCGATGCAATATAAATGGGATAGGATTGTGTTTGGGGACCAGTAGCAAATGCTGTTGGTACCCCCTCAAGATCTTTTTCACCTGCCCAGAGTGCCGTCTCCCAGTGGCTATCTTCCTTGCTGTAACAACTAATTCCTGCAACCTGCGACTGTGGGATTTGCCTATGGCCAACTGGAGCTGCCCAGCAATTTATGTGCTTCCCCTTCCTGCAGGCAATAGACCAGCTTCCTTACCTGCAGGTGGGACGCACTTTGTGGTACAATTCTTACTCCAGAGCTCCCCTTGGGATCAGGCTGAAGCTGGGTATGGCCTGATACCACTCCCACANAGTTGGATTAATCCAGGAGAGTGTAATCTGTGATCCACAGAGCCCGAGGGTATCTCAAAATGGATTTGGGGCAAGGTTTCTGGAACCCTGGGACGTAGTATGCAAAATCTTGGGTAGACATATTTTTTCTTTTTCCTAACAGTGGTTTTGAGACTTTTATCAGACTCTCAAGGGTAGTCTCAGGAATCGTTTTGGGGGCCTAGTCCAACTCTTGATGATTATCCAACTGGTCCCAGGTACAGGGAGGTCTCTTTTAAACTCTTCTTTCCCCTTCTTTTCTTTTCTTTTCTTTTTTTATTAAAGATTTTATTGGGGAATTGGGGAAGGGGAACAGTGTTGGGGAATCGGGGAAGGGGAACAGACAAGCTGCTGTCCTTTTGTTCTTCAGTCTAGTGGAGGATGTCGTTTCACTGGCCCATGTTGGTATTACCATTGCGACCACGGCACTTGGCAGCTCACGCTGGCTGCCAGCCACTCATGGTAGCTTATGGCAGCCCACAGCAGCTCCCCTGCAGCCTACGCCGTCGCCGGCGACTCACAGCAGCCCAGCTCCAGGTCGAGCTGTTGTTCACCATCTTAGCTGTAGAGGGCACAGAGTCACTGTCCCTAACGTGGGATCCAAACTGGGGCTCTGCTGCTCAGAGGTGGCATCCCAAGCCAACTCCTAACCAACATGCCACTGTGCCGGTCCCCTCCCCTTCTTTTCTTAACCCCCCAAAATCTCTTCCAAAGGGCAGGATTACTGCCCATTTCCTTCAGCCTCCTCACTCTGGGAGGCCCCCAGAAAGGAAGTGATTTAAAGGAGGGCACAGGAAGGGGACATCAGTCCAAGGAGATGGCCAGCATCCTGCTTGCTTGTTGTACAGTATGCAGGTGGGACAGACTGAGAGCCAGTGCAGCGCAATGAGCACCTACAGGAACCAGCCCCACCCGTCCCACCGGCCCGGTGCCATGGAGATGTGAAGCTGACTCAGTCACAGACCCTGCCTCAAGGACTTGCCATCTTGAAAGAAAATAAAACACATCTGCAAGAAACAGTTAACCAGTGGAGGGGCCATAGCAGAGAGGCAATGTGTGACTGGGGTTCCAGGGGAAGGAGGCCCATCCGTTAGGGCCAAGGAAGGCCTTACTGAAGAGAGAGGGCTTTGAAGGAAGGAGAGGATTTTGTTGGGTGGACCAGAGGATGAGAGGAATGCCATTTTAGGCTACATGGACCCAGAAGGACTATAGGAAAGTGCTCTAGCTCTGCAGAGAGCAGGGCATCCGCTGGAGGGCAGAGGTCAGTAAGGCTGGGATCCGGCAGAGGATGGGGGCATAGACGGGAAGGGGAATGAACATACTTGGCTGAGTGAGAAGGAGCCGGAAGACCAAAGAGAGAAAACAAGACTACAGTGGTCCTACTGAAGGGATGGGGTTGCAATCCACCAGAGGCTGATAAGATAGAACAGTGGGTGTCTGAGTAAGCTGAAGATGGTCTCCAGGCCCTGCCCTTCTCACCCAACTCCAGGCCCAAGGAGGAAATGGGGATTCAACTCAGATGAGGGTTGGCCTTTACAAACAGATGCACACATTGAGACCATTAAGGTCTGAATTTGCTAAGGACCTCTTTATGTCTCCATAACCCCTGCCATATCCCCTGGCTACTCCTCAGTTTTATGAGCCCCTAAGTACCCCAAGGACCAAGACGGTCCCTTCCAAAGGCAAAACCCAGGCTTCAGTCCATGCTCGCAGTCTCCGGGGTTGACAGCTTACGGTCATGGGACTTGAGGAAAACGTTTTGCATGTCAGAACCAAGAGGACGAGGGCTAGTTAGAAGGACCCCCACCCGGGTCATCCAGTCAACTCACGGAAACAGATTATGGGCACAGACACATAGTTTAGGCTGCATCTCAAATCTAGTCCCTTAACCAAATAGAAATAGGTATGACAAGATAACTTATTGACATGCTAATTAATGCTTGTTCTCCCGGTAGTTTAAGCAAACAGCAAAGACTTGGTGCTTTCTTGTCCTTGCTAAAAACAGGTACTATTTGAAAACTTCTGCCTTTTGTTCTCAGAAGAGAAATCCTCCTAAGCTGGGAATGTTATGAGGAGAGTGAGGAGGGACGGGGCTAGAGATTGGAAGAGGAGGGATCTCCCCTGACCTGGAGAGAATAGGGACCCCAGGCATCCTGGAGAAGAGGTAAGGTCTCAGAAGGAATGGGTGTGGGACACTCCTTGGGAAGCTGAACCAAACGGACCAGGATTCCCAGCCTCAGAAGTGCTCTGATACCTAAGCAAGGCATGAGGATGGCAGTCACCAGGCACCCATGGACCACATGGCCTCGGACAACAGGCATTTCAGGGGTAAACAGGGCAGATAAAAAGCTACAGAGACCTCCCCTGCTGGGTTTTCTGCCATAATTCCCCTGGATCTTGGCCCAACTCGTATGACAGTTGAAAAAGTGGAGAGAACCCCAATAATGCCTACGATTGAATTTTCCTGGCATTCTGGCAGGTTGGAGTCTCAGAGACAACTTTAATTTGGTTTAAAGGATTTAACAAAATATGACATTTCTTGATCATCTCATGATGTGGCTGCAAATATATTTCCATAAACACGAAGGCGGGGGAGGAAGTACACGGTGGAATTTTAAAATGCCTTCATTTTCTTTTAAAAAATGGAATGAAAATTATTTTGGTTCCTTTTGTATAACTGAGAACAAAGAATCTTGCACAGCCAGTAAACAGTCTTCTTGGATCTAGAGATGCTGTGTTTATACAGACAATGTGAAATGAAAGGCCTTACTTTGCGCTGACAGTGTACCTATGCTCTCTTCGATGGTAGATTTGATTTCTTCTTATTTCTATGTTCAGTGAAGATCTATAAGGACTGTTTCATAAAACTGTGTAAGATGATAAAAAATCTGCAATGTCATCTCTGCTTCTAGGTTTAAGAGAATTGCTTGGAGCCATGAAACGTTTTTCTTTAAAAAGGTGTTAATTGATGAAATATGTGCCTGTTATTTTTCAACTTAAAGTATAAATAACATCACCAAGGTCATTTTTTTCCCTCTCCTCTACTTATCCTCCAAAATGCTGAAAACAAAGCCAGAATGATGTTTATCTTTCTCGTGTAAAAGTTGAATGAGCCAAGTTGTNTGAGCCACCAATGCGAGCCATAGATGTAGTTTTAAGTTTTCCAGCAGCCAAATAAAAAAGTAAAAAAAAACCAAGTAAATTACCTTTAATTATATATTTTTAACCCAATAGTCCCTAAATATTATCATTTCAATGTATATTCAATATTAAAAAATTAACAATGAGATATTTTACATTTTTTTCATACAAAGTCTTCCAAATCCAGAGTGTATTTTATACATACAGCATATATCAACTCAAACTAACCACATTAAAAGTGTTCAATAGCCCCATATGGCTAGTGGCTACCGTATTAGTCAGTATAGGTCGAAGAGTCTCTGGAAAAATTTGAGAGTCTCAAGTCCCTAGAATGCCCGGCCTGTTGTCTTCTAGATCAGCTTCCCAAATCCTGTTCTTTTCCTCACCTTTTCCTCTCATTCTAAATTCTGTTTCCTCTCACACCTCAGTATGGCTACAACAGGACCATTTCCTGCATCACCTCACAAAAATAGTCTAGGTTAGATACAGGCCATGGAAGGGAATTTCATAAATATACTTGGGGAGAGAAAAAACAAAAGGGGAAATTCCATATTTGAGCAGCTGATGGGAGCTCCGAAAGTTATAAATTCACCTCATTGTTTTTGAGGAGATGGGACACTTTGTCAAATTCAATTCCCTACTCGCCCTCTAGAACTTATTTGAGACAGTGAGAGGACAGACACCCACCAGAAGCTGCAAAGTAGCCATTCCAGGGCCCAAGCTGCTGCGTGAGAGGGAAGGGTTGACTCCTTCAGAGAAGATTCTGGAGGCAGCTCACTCTGAGGGGTGCGGGGGGCAGGGTGGGCAGTGTGGTGGGCAACGAGGGGCCCGCATTTGTGTTCCCTCACGCGTCCTAAGGTACTCACCGGACTTCGACCCCCTCTGAAGAGTGGTGGCGGGAACAGCGGGGGCGGAGGGGGTGTCAGCAGGCAGCATGCTTTGTGGCTGCCTCGCTTCTTCTGATCCAGGCCAGGAAGGGCTGTTTAGAGAAAACTGCTGCTCATTAGCAATGCGGTCCGTGCTCGGGCCTCTGTCGTGCCCGTTGTACCCCAGGGAGACCCAGGCTGCCTGATTCCTAGAGTTCCGAATCTGATTCCTAACGTTTTACATGTGAGCACACCTCCTGCTCGCTACTTGAGGGAGTCCTCCCCTGGTCTTCACTAAGATACAACAAATAAGATAAACGAGCGGACGGTACAGACACTGTGATTGCTATAAGGTTCGTTTCTCCTTCTTCAGAGATTGACTTGTCACTTTGTAGATGGGACAAGGAATGCAAAGTTCAGATAGGCTCATAATGTTCCCCCAATAGGTGGGGAGAAGGAAGTCGTTGTTAATAACTTTGATACTGTGCTCAGAATTGTTCAGAGAGGGAGGCAGACAGGGCTGGAGGTAGCATCGATTACAAGAGACCATGAGCCATGAGTTAACACATATTTGACTCTAGGCTGTATGCACACATTTGGTGTCACCCATGCTCACTAGCCAGTGACAGTTAAATGTCTCAACACCCGAGTGTGAGGAGATGAAGAGGGGACCCTGGACTCTTATAGTTTCATTGTCACATGGAGTCTCTCAATACACACATTCCTGGGGAGAAGGAAACTGGGGGCCAGGGTGCAGTAGGAGTGAAAGAGGAGGAAGAATCGAGGGCTCGTTTGATGCTGCAGGGGACCTGGGGCAACAGTGGTCAGAACATGAGATGGAAAAGTCAGAGGAGGCACTGGTTTGTGGGGAAAGCTGCCAAATTTGGTGTGAAACATGTTCATTCCAGCACATTTCCAGGCACTGGGGTGGGCCTTGTGGGGGGAAGAAAGATGCGTAAACAGTGCCCCTGACCTGCAGATGGTGAAGCCTGTGGAGCTCGAGTGGCTGCCAAGGCCCTCCTGCTCACTTCCCAGCCGGCCCTCCGGCACCCACACTCATCCTGGGGACGCTTACTCTGTATCAGGAACTGCCAGGAGATGCCTCCACCAGGACGCTTTCCTCAACTCCCCAGGCCAAGGGTGAGGGGTCCGGCTATGTTTTTCTCTGAGTTTACCTCTTTTTTTTTTTTTTAGCTGAGCCATCCTGCCACCTGTTGGCAGCTCAGCGGCAGCTCAGCTCAGGCTGGACTCAAACCGCTTTTGCTCAGAGCTCAAACCTTTGAGCGAGCTCTTAACCAACTGAGCCACTCAGCCGGCCCTCTGAGTTTACCCTTATGTTAGCCTTGATTCATGGGGGTGAAACTGTTTCTTTGTATCTCCCTGACTAACCGGTGCTTTCTGGGAGGATGGAAGCCAGTTTTTATCCCCAGGGTCTAGCACAGTAACTGACATACACTAGATATTTCACGAACGCTTGGTCAATTAATTTTTAAAAACTTACTTCATGCCAGGCACCATTTAAATGCTTCACACATATAAATTTACCTGCCCCACAGCAACCCTGAGAGTTAAGTACTATTATTACTATCATCACGCTCAATTCACAGATCCATTCACTGAGGCAAAGCGGGGAAGTGACTTGCACAGGTCCTACAACTAGTAAGTGACAGAGCTGGGATTTGAACCCAGCAGTCTGGCTCCAGAGTCCTTCCTCTAGATCTCGACACTATAACTTCACGTGGGGGAACACGAGGTCAAGGGCTAAGAAGGAGGCAAGGGGCTCCCATAACAACAACCTGAGATTTACAGTATCCATGCTCTCCAACTGAAGGCCACCGGGTCTGCACCTGTCGTTGAACACAGCTGGCCCTACTGACTCATTGCAACAAGGGAGGGCGCATACCAGGGGGAACCGTGGGGCATCTCAATAACAGGGCGCGAGAAAGGATTTATTCTAGGATTTAGGCTTTTGCTTGTGGATGTTGGGGGAGCAAAGTCGGGCTTTGCTCTTCATTGGATGCTGCTGGGAAGCAAGTGCTAGCCTATGACTGAGTATCTCAATTCTCATCCAGAAGAAGAGGTGACCAGAATGAGGCAGAAGCTGTGGCTGGTAAAGAAGCGGTAGTCATGGGCCGGCCGAGTGGCGCGTTGGTTAAGAGCTGGCTTGGGATGCCAGAGGGCCCCGGCTCGGATCCCACATATGAGGGCCAGTGACACTGCCCTCTACAGCTAAGNGCCGAGTTGTGTGGTCACTAAATTCCTCTTGCCCTGAAATTCTAATCTCCTGAAGTCTCTTTTAGATTTCTGATTCTAGGGTTTGAATTGATTTACAATAACCTCCAGAAACTCTTAGCACCACTGGCCCAATGAATACTCGGTATATAAGACCCTATGCTAGGAATTAATTCATGACAAAAAGAAAGTACCAGGCTCCCAAGGTTAACAACTCAAGTATCTGCTGACTAGATAGGAACTGAGGGTTCTACAAGATGTTTACAACATCTTGTAGAAAGGATGAGTACAATATCTTGTAGAAAGGATGAGTTAATTTCTCTAATTTTTTTGAGCTCCCAGGCATGGTTCTGGTGTAGTTTTTAAGATCACCACAACTGAATCATTCTCAACAGGGTCAAGAAATAGCCTTGTTGGCTTTAGCCCTCACCAGGAAAAACAAACACTGCCTAAGTAAAGAACTAGATGACACAAGTCAGCAGGCTTCTTGAACCCCAATATAAAAAACTCTGGGTGGAAATCAGTAGTAGGGGAGAAAATGATGAAAGAGAGAGAAAGAAATGAAGGAAGGAGGGAGGGAGAGAAGGAAGGAAGGAAGGAAGGAAGGAAGGAAGGAAGGAAGGAAGGAAGGAAGGAATAAAGGAGGAAAACATTTTCCTTTTATTTTTCTGAGCCTAGTTTTTTAGGAAATTGGTGTTTGTGGCAGCACTGTGAAGCCACCACCATTCCACCCATTGTAAAACTTTGAAAATTGAACCAGATATTGTGACTTCAAAAGTTATCATGGAATTTGAATTATCCAAGTTGGAGCCCGTGTCATTCCTGAGTTCACTTGGAAAAGACCAGAATTGGCTTTATAGTGTTACCATGGTTCTGAACCCTGGCTACACATTAGAATCACGTGGAGAGCTTTAAAAACACAGCAGCCCCAGATGAGGAGGTCTGACTGCAGGGATGTGGGATCCTTACCTGCTTGCCTCTTTTTCCTGGTCTTCCTGTGGGTCCCCGATGTCCTGCTATACCAGGCTCACCCTTTGGACCCATTTCACCCTGGAAGGAAGAAAGAGAAACAACAGAAGAATTAGGGCATGTGGAACAAGCACATCTCTACAGGCCGATCCCATCATTGGCTACGAGAGCAATCTACTTGATCATTCCAGATCATTCCCAAGTGGGCTGCATTGGGAGAGTGGAAGAGTGATGTGAGGCCACGTGAAAGTTAGATAGGTTTTTCATGGGAGAGGAAGGAAATGAGAAGGTTACTGCGGGTGGGTGATTTATTATCTTTGAGAGACAGCTGCCGGGAAACACACATTTTGAAGTCCCCAATCACCATCCGGAATGGCAGAAGTGGGAGGCTCTTGCATTTCAGTCACATGTGTGCCTGTGACACTACAAGCTGTTAGGGAAAATGCTTTCTCTTTTAATTGAAATTTTATGTTATGTTTTCTTTGTTTTTAGCACAAATTCAAATCTATGGCTTTTTGAATGACTAGACACAGTTTTTACAACTCTCACCTTTGGGAAGTTTCTGCTCACATAATGATGTTTACATAGGCTGGCATATTTCCCTACTCTTTTTAAAAATTGGTTTNATAGATAGATAGATAGATAGATAGATAGATAGATAGACAGATAGATATATGGTTGTAGGAAAAGTCATGATGCATTTTTCTATGTTTTTCATTGATATATATATATACACATTTTTTTTTCCAAAAGGGCCTGTGGGGTAAACCTTTTTATATGAAGCCTGCCTGCAAAATAATAAAATGGCACATACCAGATACATGTGGAAATCTGCCACTTTATAGGCATACCCAATGCACAAGCATGCGCGCACGTGTACACACACACACACACACACACACACACAATATTCCAGCTCATAAAGACAGGCCATTAGTGCTTAGCAGTAAGCACTGTTGTTTTAACCAGCTTAGTAAAGACTATAAGCTATAGCAGGCGTCAGCAAGCTTTTCCTGGAAAGGACCAAATAGTAAATATTGTAGGATCTGTGCCATAGTACATGAAAGCAGCCATCGACAATACATAAAGGAATGAGTGTGGCTGTGTTGCAATAAACTTCACTTACAAAAAAAGGAGGCAAGCTGGATTTGGCCCACAGATTGTAGTTTGCTGACCCCTGAGCTATAGCCTTCAAAAGAAAGAATATTTCGCATATTCATTCATTCATTTACTGCTTCATTCATTCAGAAACACATGTCGAATATCAAATGTGCACTAGATACTCCTGAGACACAAATGGTCCTACATAAGGGCCCTGAACAGGGATAGAGGATCACTCTGCCAGGTTCTCCCCTGGAGGGCAATCCTTGCAACCTGAGGCAGCGGCCTGCTGAGCAACCTCAGGTTCACTGGCCCAAGCACCAGCTCACCACAACAGAGCTGCCTGCAGAATCTAATTCATAATAAAAGTTTCCGGGACTTTCCTGCAGCTGTCAGCAGGTGTCATATTCACAGTATTTTGTCTTAATTGCAGCTCTGGGATTTATCAGCCAGGCCAGAAGACCGGTTCTGGAATACGGCCTCCCTGGGCACTGTTCCAGAAGCTTCTGTCCCCACTGTTGGCACATGCAGGCCTGTTCCCTGCTGACCCCTCCCAAAGCAGGTTCTGCTTTGCATCTGTCCCCTGCTGTGTTTCCCACCTGTGTTGTGCAGGGAGATTGTGTGGCCTGGATAACTCAGGACCCTTCCCAAGGACCCAGAATTTCCAGTGGGAGCCAAAGACACCTGCATGTTTAGGGGCAGAGTCTAGGGTCCTACCAGCCCCAGGGCACCTCAAGTCAGCTGTCGCACCCAAGCCTTGGTGGGCAGAGAAGTAGGTTGGAGGACATGGGTTCTACCTTCCCACTGACCAAGACTCTCTCCTTCACCAAACTTTCGTCAGGCTCTCAACAAGGCTTTGAACTTGGGCTTCCATGGCCGTCCTTGCAGAGTCCAGTTTTAGCAAGAATCCTGCTAAGTCAGTTTAGATAGACTCCCCACCAGAAGAGCCCTATAACAGATTCTGCTTCAGCCCACAAACATTTATTGAACCCTTACTGTGTGCCAAGCCCTTGCTCTTGGATACAGAGATGAATAAAGGTACAGAGATGAATAAGTCTGTCTCTGGAGGGAAAAGAGTTTTCATCTCATCTGCTAACTTGAACTGAGTGGTACAGATTTCCTGGGACACTGTGTTAAGAAGGACTCTGAGGAAAGAGGATCATGACTAATTAGTATTGTCCTCCCTGAAATGAGAGGAAGGAGTGACACCTGTGCTGCATACTTGCTGACCCTTGTTTAACAAAATCCTCATCATGAAACGATGACAACACTGGGCTCAGCACTTCCCATGTAATATCACATTTAATTCTACTAGCACGATTATTCTCACTTTACAGAGAAGAAAGGGGCTCGTGGAGAAGCCAAGTCACCCAGTCTAGGCCACATAGCTGGTACAGAACTGGGGTCAGAGTTCAAAAGGAATCGTGCACACAGTCCTGTGAGAAGGTGCTTTCCTGGTGTCCATCTTGCCCAGCTCCCCTGACCAGTTGCACCCCTCCTGCTGTTCTTTCTTAAGGCTCTTGGGGAGCAAGATGGTTTCCCACTGACCTGGCCCTTCCCTGACAGGCTGGTTCTCTCTAGGCCTAACTCCCAGACACTGACTACATCACAGGACCTCCTCAGGTGAGGCTGTAGTGAGAAAGCTAGTACCTGCCCCCCCCCACCCCGAATGTGTGCTCCCACTTCCACAGGCCAGGGCTGTTCCTGAGAAGTGGCTGCACTTGCCAGACCCCTGCAGGGCGAATAGCTGGGAGCATGTGGCTCTTCTTTCTAATGATTCTGGCTGGATGCAGAGGACTGAGCCCTGGGAGATGGAGGAGTCACAGAAAGAAAAAGAGCCCATGCCCTGAGATCCCAGCGTGGAGGTGAGCTGCCCCCAACCAGGGACTCTGGACTATTGGGGTAGCAGAAAATAAAATTTGATTCGATTAAGTCACTGAAAAGTGGGTGCTTGTTTGCTACAGTGGACAGTCTTACCCTAACCCAGTAGCGAGGTGCCAGCTGTGGGAAACATCCCATGAGCATTCGATAGCCTTCTCTGAGCCCCAGAACATCCCCACAAGGCACACATTAGCACTGTCATCTTCATTTTCATACAAGGCTCAGAGATTCAGGGATGTACCTAAGGTCATACACAGCCAGTAGGTAGGAGGCTAGGAGTGAGTTCAAATGTCTGACCCTGGAGACTTCTGGAGATTTCAGTACTGGCACTAAGTGGTGACCTCCCACCCCCACGTCCCCATCAGCCAGAGACAATGAGCAGGGAACCTCAGAGAAAAATGGCGGGTGTCATCTCAGCCAGCTGGAGTTGGAGGAGTTTACCAACACCCAGTTCCGTGTCTTTCTAATCAAGCTTTACAGTGACGCATCTTTAGGTCCCAGTTCCCTGGTTTGTAAATTCACATTGTAAGATAGCGGGCAATCCTAGTTGCCTCCCTCATATCCCGGCCCCAGAAGGGGTTCTCTCATGTGTGCTGGTGGCCTTCCAGCAAATGTGCATTCCCCTCCTCTGGTGAATAGTTTAGTCTTCACAGGGGACAAGGCTCTGCAACTCATTTTGAAATCCATCAGAAAACAAGATGGAAGGGTAAGCAAATGTATGATAAACACAGCAAAATGATAAAGATGGCAGAATCTATGAGGTGGGTGTGTTGGTTTGCTAGGGCTGCCTAACCAAGTAACTTGGGGCTTAAACAACAGGAATTTATTTTTCCCAGTTCTGAAAACTAGAAGTCCCAGATAAAGGTGTTGAAAGGTTTGTGTTTTTTCCCAAGGCCTCCTTCCGTGGCTTGCAGATGGCTGCCTTCTAGCTGTGTCCTCACATGCCTTCCCTCTGAGTATCTCTAGTGTCTCTCTGTGTCCAAATTTCCTCTTCTTATAAGGACACCAATCAGATTGGATCAGGACCCACCATAACAGCCTCAGCTAACCTTATCACCTCTTTAAAGGCCTATCTCCAAACACAGTCACATTGTGAGGTACTGGGGTTAGGGCTTCCACTTATCAATTTGCGGGGGGGGGGCGTGCACAATTTGACCGGTAACAGTGGGCATATTGCCGTTCCCTGGACAAATCTTTCCCCTTTTTTTCTGAATGTTTGAAATTTTCCATAATAAAAAATAAAATAATTTTAAGTAGGCAACAGAGAGCCAAAAGATACCTTCACAAGGGTTAGGATTAGCGGGTGCGTCGGCCCAACACCCCTGTTGGCACATATCTGAGGGCCCCTGGAGCTGCACAGAGCTAGGGTACCAGCGTTGCCTGGGGGAGCCTGCAGCCACTCCTCAGGAGACCTTTGAGCAAGTAATTGAATCTCCACGAACAACATGAGAAGGATGTTCTCCTCTGCCCTTATAGGGATGCCTTGAGGAGGAAAAGTCTGCCCTACCTACAAGGATGAAGGCAAATCATTCCATATTGTCATTATTTTATAGTAACTTATATATCAACAGTGGCTCCTTTGATTGTACACAGATTCAAGGAGACAAACCCATCCCTCTTTTCCTCCCACAAGGGAAATTTTTGGACTTTATCTAAAGGAAGGCATCTGCTTTTTTAAGTTCAAGTTCTAATTCGACCAGATGACATGTGGTAAGTAGAGAGGAAGGAGGAGACAATGTTATTAGGAGCCAAGGGAACATCAAGAAACCTCCCCAAGGCTGGCTGTGTCTTGGCTCTGAATTTGATTACAGCAGCCAGCATAAATCAGCAAGCGCTATTAAATCTTTTGCTACAGCTTGACAGGGGAGGCCAAGATGCTAGAGTTATTCAGGCGATCTGGCCGTAGGTCAGAGACAAAACCGTCCAGCTGCATGGGGCCCAGAGGGTGGGTTATTTCCAACACCCTCTGACAACTGGGGCTGAGTGGAAAGGCCCTGTGTTTCCAACCATTACATTTCCACACCTTCATTTTTCCACGGTGACATCTTAGCTCTATGGACGCTTGTGATTTAAAACTTTGTGGCTCACTTACCCCTTTCCCTAAAGTCCCCCATCCCCGCCCCACCACCTTTAGTATTTGCTGTCTGAGGGTTCACAGCCAGTGGGACGGAGGGAGCAGGGTCCCTGGGAGCCCCCAGCTGCCCACTGGCACAGACAGACATTTCTACCCATTGGTCTCACTCAGTCACTCAAACCCCTGAATTCCAGAAAGTGGGGACCACAGGCTTACCCTGTTGACCTCAACGGAGCAATAGAGCTTCTCAGTTGAACAAGTTGGAGAGATCAACCGTAGGCTTTTTGCAGGACTATAATTGTATGATTCTACTATTCTGGAAATTCTCTGAGCTCTCAATTCCCATTGCTAATTTGGATCTAACAGACTTTTAAAGACAGAAGAATCCCACCCTGTGCTCCACATGATAGGCTCTGTTTTGTATGAACATATGGAATTTTGTTTAATTGCTTAGAACAGGTAATACATTTATGTGATTCAAAATTCAAAAAAGTATAAGGTGTACATGAAAACTTTCCCACATTTGTCCCAGTTCTAGTTATTTATTCTCAATTGCTTAGTCTCCTGTGTACATTTCCATGACTATTCTATGCATACAGAACAAACAGGTAGGTCAATATTTTCCCCTTGTACTCAAAGGATTACTTGTAATATAATACTATACACATGGTCTTTCTCTGTTTCTTCATAGTATTTCTAAGAGATCACTCTGTGTAACTACGTATAATGCATCCACATTTCTTTCTATGGCTACATACTATTCTTTCACTTGGAAGAACCATGACTTGTTCATCCTGCCCCCTACTGATGTGCTTTTGGATAATTGGCAAACATTTAAATCCTAATTCATTTGTAATTTATTCTGGTAGAAGATGTAAGTTTGTTTGTTTGCTTGTTTTCCAGAAGACATTTTATCTGTAACCTAAAGCAGACCAAAAAAACACAAACAAACAAACAAAAAAACCCAAAACATTCTTTAAACTACCTTTATGTAGCTTGCAAACATTAACCATCACAATATTCAGTAACATGTACTGAACACTTGTAATGTGCTAAGCACTGGCCTACAACATGCTTCAAGCCTGTTAATATTTTCTCTATTTGACAGCTCAGTAAACTGAAGCTCAAAGATGTGCCCAGGTAAGTGGAGGGTTGTGATTTGGACCCAGATCAGTTGTCTCCTTATTATAATTGCTCTGCTCTCATATAAATTCCAACTACTTGTGTGTCTGAGACACCACAACAGTGGTATACATTGCTCCTCATTAATTATTTCATCTGTGTCATTTTTTTTTNTAAGAGGCAGGAAATGTAAAGAAGGGCCTCTCTCCACCCCTGTGGGGTGTCCCCGCTCTCCCGTTGAACTGGAGGGAGGTTTCAGACCATCCTGTCACCCTCTCACCAGCATGTTCAGCAACTTGCTCCCCTTCAGAACTTTCCACAGCGAAACCCACTTTCCCTGCCTGATGAACAGTGAAGCAGACCTCTTTTTGTTGTACTTGGATGGACTCATTTGTTACTAATGCCTATTTTTATTACTTCTAGGTACTTACTTTCTGCCCTAACATTCCAGGAAGTCCCGGGAAGCCCTGCGAAGAGAATAACAAATATAGTGACCACCTCTGAAATAATGCTTGAAAGGGCTGTGGAAGAGCTTGATCAGGATTTTCAAGATAGAGCCCTGTCAGCCAGCCAGCCAGTCAATCAGACAGACAGCCAATCAGTCAGTCAGTCAGTCAGTCAGTCATCTCATAAGGTGAGGGTGGGCAGGGGCTGCCACTTCCATTGTAATTTATTACTTCTATGCAATAGCCATTACCTTTTCTCCTTTGGGACCCAAGTCACCCTTTTCACCTCTAGATCCCTACGAGGAAACCACAGGAGAGAGTCAATGAGTCAAAACTGTGGGAAAAAATTGGAAGTGAAAGTTCCCTAAGCCACCACCCTCATTTCACAGGCAAAGAAACAGGCTCAGAGATTAAGTGACTTGCCCAGGGAAGGAATTCTTTGCATTCTACCATCCATTTGGACCCCAACGACCTCTTCCCTTAATAAAGGACAACTCACAGAAAATGCTGGGTCCCAGATCCTCTCTCATCCAAAGAAAATTTGTCCCCAGGTTCGGGATGGGTTTCTTGTTTAGTTTTGTTTTTTGACAGATAAAAACGGTTGTGTGGTGAAAGCGTGGTCTAAAGACACACATCTGCCATCTTCCTCCAGCACCCCCATGCAAACTGCGCTCACTGTGCACACGGCACAAGCTTCAGTTGCTCATCTACTCCAAGTAAGGGGCCTCTACCTCCCCTGGGGGCTCCTCCCTAACCCGCTTGCCCTGCCTCAGGGGGCCCCTCACTTCTCTCTCAGCCCACTGATAAAAGATGGGGGAATATCTAGGAACGGTCACTGCAGTTGCTGAATAAAGAGAGACCTGGGCTCATCCTCTGCTCATCACTGACCCTGCAGCCGATAGCCCAGACCAGGCTCTGGGAAGCCAGCAGAGACAAGCACTAACCTTCTCCCCTCTGGATCCAGGGTAGCCCTAGAAGAAAGAAGAGGTGCATTTACATCAGTCCTGTAGGACCTCTGGGTTTGATGTGAGAGTGGAAGGAATCCCTGAATGTGGTGGTGAGAAGAGTCTCATGGCGTTGGAAGTTTTGGCGTGAGTGGCTGCATTAAACACAGATGCCCCTGAGACTTGTGTTTACACCAGGCCTAAAAAGAACATCGCTTTTCTTACCACCCCGCCCCACCCCCCGCAAAAGGACTGAAAAAAGATTTCGATCTGTCTTGTCCAGAACAGCAGGAATGGTATCCCTACATCCTGTGTCCCCCAAAGTCTGGTAAAGACAAGTACTCTGGCATTGAGATGGCCAATATCTGTGACAGTCCCGGCAGCCCACCCAGTCCCCATCTTTGTAAGTAACAGCTGCTTCACAGCCTTAGTGAGAAGACCTGGGAACCCACACACTGACCTTGGAGCCTATTGGTCCTCTTGACCCTGGCAAGCCCATCAGACCCAAGTCACCTTTTTCACCCTGTGGGAATCAGAAGAAGGGGGG